GCATCCATAGGAGCTTACGTTTGAATCCTTGGTCTCTGCTGGTGGAACTGTTTGGAAAGGATTAGGAGGTGTGGCCTTGTTGGAGGAGTGTTACTGGGAGTGGGCTTGAGGTTTCAAAAGACTCTTGCAGTTCCCAGTGCTTTCTCATTGCCTTCTACTAATGGTTCAAAATGTGAGTTCTGAACTGTTTCTGCCACCGTGTCTTTGTCCCACCATCATGGATTCTAACCCTCTAGAACCAGAAGTCAAATTAAATGCTTTCTTTTAAATTGTCTTGGTTAGGCTAGGTGTGGTAGAGCAAACCCTTAATCCTAGCACTCAGGAGTCAGAGACGGGTAGATCCCTGACTGGTCTATAGAGTAAGTTCTAGGCTGCCCAGGACTACACATAGACAAACATTTGAAAAACAAAAACAAATAAGCAAAGAGAGAGAGACAGAGAGAGAGAAGGAGGAGGAGGAGAAAAGGAAGGAAGAAAGAAATTGCCTTGGTCATTGTGTTTGTGATGGTTATTCTTTTTTTTTTTTTTTTTTTTTTTGGTTTTTACGAGACAGGGTTTCTCTGTATTGTTTCGGAGGCTGTCAGTCCAGCCCGGCCTCGAACTCACAGAGGTCCGCCTGCCTCTGCCTCCCGAGTGCTGGGATTAAAGGCGTGCGCCACCAACGCCCGGCATGTGATGGTTATTCTTGTTGTCAACTTGACATCTGGAATTAACTAAAACCCAAAAATGGGACACACCTGTGAAGACATTTTGCTTAGCTTGAAGTGAAAGATCCACTTCTAGTCTGCATCTGAGCTGGGAAGACCACACCCATTGCTGGCAGCCTACATAAAAGGACACAGAAGAAGGAAGCTCTCTCTCTGCCTGCTTGTTCTAAACTCACTACCAAGTACATTCCTTCACTGGCATTAGAACCTACTTCTTCAGGATTCCAGCATATACTGAAGACCGGCTGACCCATCTGGCCTCATGGACTGAACAGCTACTGGATTCTTGTACTTTCCATTCACAGTCATCCATTCTAATAAATCACATATATATATAAAGAGATTCATTCTATAAGTTCTGCTACACTAGAGAACCCTGACTAATACAGTGTTTTAAATGAGCAACAGAAAGTAACTAAATAAGCTCCCCACAAATACAACAGCCAATGTGCATATTGCATTCACTGTATAAAATGCCATAAGGAAACGAGTTATGAACCTGAATGAGAATAACCAGCACTTTATTCTTTTATTTCTCCCTTTTAATTTATTGAAAATAGATTTTTTTCTTATACAATGTATCCTGAGTACAGTTTCTCCTCTATTCCTCCCAGTTCATCCCTTACTGCCCCTCCTTCCAAAAATCTGGATCTACCAAGACCCACAGCCAAAGACTAGGTGGAGCCAGAGGAACCCTGCAGAAGAGGGGCAGGAAGGATTGTAACCAAAGTGCCAAACATGGACCCTGTATGGGTCTAAGCTAAGTCCTCTGTATATACATTATGGTTGTATAGCTTGGTGTTCTTGTGGGAACACTTCACAGTGGGGGTATCTCTGACTCTCTTGCCTGTACTTGAGACTCTTTTCCTCCTACTGGGCTGCCACATTCAGCTGTGATATAGGGTTAGTACCTAGTCTTATTGTATCTTGGTAGGCCATGTTCAGTGGATATACCTGGGAGGCCTGCTCCTTTTTTTTTGGAAACAGAGGAGGAGTTGATCTGGGGGGTGGGGAAGTGGGGGGGAACTGGGAAGAATGGAGGGAGAGGAAACTGCAGTCAGGATATAATGCATGAGAGAGGAATAAAAATTAAAAGAAAATAGAAAATGACAGGCTTCCAAGAGATAACAATAAAACATAACAACATAAAATATAATTATAATAAGAAAAAAGAAAAACTATCACATCTTTTATTTATTTTTTGAGACAGAGTAGGTAACCTATATATTATGAGACACTACGTAGTTCTTAGTAGCCTGGAACTCACGAGTCTACCTCTGCCTCCCAATTGCAAGGATTACTGGCTTGTAACACTATGCTCAATGAGAATGGCCAGCTAAATGACACCTGATTCTGAGAATGAGAAAATGGACAAAGGTCCAATTGCTTACTTTGTTAGACTTCAAAATGGGGAACAAACAAAGCCTCACCCACAGCAGGCAGACGCTTGCCCTCTAGGCTGGACATGCTGCTCTTCCCAGGGACGACTGCAGGGTCTTTCCCAGCAGAGCGTGGTGTCCACACTCCACATTGAGAGATGCACCCCTGCCTCAACTTGTAGTTTCCTCACAGTACCACTTGGGTTTGGAGCCCACACCTTGCTGAGCATGGGCTCTCGGGTCTGTGTGGGTGCCTGGGTGAGGGAAAGGGCGGGAGAGAACAAGGGGCCATGTGCTGGGGGCAGACGGAACCTCCGCACTTTGCTGCTGACTGGGCTGGAGCAGGACAAAAGTATAGACAGAAACAGGCGGTGCTGAGGGACTAAGTGAAGAGCTTGGGGCTGGGCAGCTGGTGCTTCCTGAACCAGGTGGCCTGACCTTAGACCCTCCCATGGAGAAGAGATGGTATCCCCACACGTCCACACACACTCCTGGCACTCACATATAGGACCTCTTGCCGGAGACCAACTGGCTCCACACAGCTGACCAGGCGCAGCAGCAGGTCCATGAGAGCTGAGGTGCCTATGTGCTTCAGCATCAGGCTGATGAACTTCTCCTTCTTCTTCAAAAACGTGATCACCTGAGGTTAGACACACCCAGTAAGAAAACAGGCTTCTGACAGGAAGGAACACCTTAAGAGCTCTCACGAGAAAGATAATTAACTTTCAGTTATACTGGGAGGAAATGAAAAAATTCCCTCCTAAGACAGGCAGAGTCCTAGAGGACAGTGACACAATGCAGAGTGGCAGTCCCACTAGCTGGACAGCACGTCTGGAGAACATTGCAAGTTACATGCGCAGTCATCACTGAGCATGTGCTAGCTCAAGGTGCCCGGCAGAAACAAACGGCATAGAGAGAACCAGCTGGGAGATGAGAGTTGTTGTTTCAGAACTACACAGAGGGACCCTGCCTGAAAAACCTTGTCTCCTACCTCTTCACGCTGTGGTATGCACTGTCTTACACCATACACATACATACAATAATAAATAAACAAACAAATTTGTAAAACTATCATGAGAAGTTAATATAAACAGCTTTATACCAATCTGTATGCATCTTAAAAAAATAATTTTCAAAAACTCCAATTAACCAGTGGTGGCCCATGACTTTAATACCAACACTTAGAAGGCAGAGACTGGTGGATCACTATGAGTTCAAGGCCACCCTGGTCTACATAGTCATTTCCAGGACAGCCAGGGCTACATAAAAGAGAGACTCTGTGAATCCCAGCACTTGGGAGGCAGAGGCAGGTGGATCTCTGTGAGTTCGAGGACAGCCTGGTTTACAGAGAGAGTTCCAGGACAGCCGCTGAAACAATACAGAGAAACTCTGTCTCAAAAAACCAAAAAGAGAGAGAGAGAGAGAGAGAGAGAGAGAGAGAGAGAGAGAGAGAGAGAGAGAGAGAGAGAGAGAGAGAGAGAGAGAGACTGAGACTCTATCGGAAAAAAAAGGTGGGGGGAAGCAACAAACAAACAAATCAAATCAACCAGGGTACATGCCAGTAGTCCCAGCCCATGGAAGGCAGAGGCAGGAAGATCAGAGTTCAAAATCATCTTCAGCTATATCGAAAGCTCAAACCCAGCCTGGGCTGCACAACACTCTTCCTTAAAATAAACAAATAAGGAACACTGTTAAAAAGAGGAAGACTCCAGGGTCAGTGGACAAAGGCACTTGCCGCCAAGCCTGATAACCTAAGTTTGAGCTCTAGAATCCATATAAAGGTAGAAAAGGACAGGTGACTCCAGAGTTGTCTTCTGGCCTCCATATGTACCACAGCACATTGTGTACCCCTCCCACAACATCATACACATAAATACAAAAGCAACAAATTTTAAATCTTTATTTTTACTTCTATGTATGGGTGTTTTGCCTGCATGAATGTCTGTGTACCAGGTTTGTGTAGTGCCCGTGGAGACCAGAAGAGGGTGCTGGATCTCTTAGGACTAGAGTTACAGTTTTGAGTCATCATGTGGGATTAGAACCTGGATCCTCTGGAAGAACAACCAGTGCTCTTAACCCTTAAATAAAAAATATTACATTTATTTATTGTATATAGCAGAACATGAGGGTACCACAGTACATGTGGCAGTCATATAGGTCCCAGGGATTAAATTTAGGTTACCTGGCTTCACCCACTAAGCCATCTCTCTGACCCCTTAGGCTTGATTTATTTTTTATAAGATTTATTTATTATGTATTCTGTCTGCATGTATGCATGCACACCAGAAGAGGGCACCAGATCTCATTATGGATGGTTGTGAACTACCATGTGTTTGCTGGGAATTGAACTCGGGTCCTTTGGAAGAGCTTCTGCCTTTGGTTCCTGCCCTGATTTCCTTTGTGATGGATTGTGATGCAGACCTGCAAACTGAAATAAACAAACGCAAGCTGCTCTTGGTGTTTTATCACAGCAACAGAAACCCTAAGACAGAAATTGGTATCCGGTTTGTGAGACATGGCTGACAGACCTGACAGTGTTTTTGGAAGGAAGGACTTTGAAACTTTGAGCTAGAGAAGCCATGGAGTGTGGGAAGCTTGATGAGCTGTTTTGTGGGACCTTAGAAGAGAGAACAGTGCAGATAATAGAGGCCTGCCTTGTGAAGTTTCAGAGGGAACTGCTTTTAAAGGATTTTTTTATTTACTTATTTTTATTACATATACAGTGTTCTGTCTCCATGTCTGCCTATATGCCAGAAAAGGGCACCAGATCTCATGATAGATGGTTGTGGGCCACCATGTGGTTGCTGGGAATTGAACTCAGGACCTCTGGAAGAGCAGCCAATGCTCTTAACCTCCAAGCCATCTCTCTAGCCCCTCAGAGGGAACTCTGAGAGTCCCTAGAGACTCAACAGGGGTGCTCGCTTTGGCAGCACATATATTAAAATTGAACCAATACAGAGAAGATTAGAATGGCCCCTTTGCAAGCATGACAGGAAAATTCGTGAAGCATCCCATATATTTAGATGCTGAAGAGTTAACTCTCCACACTGATGGTTTCTGGTGGGGGTGGGGAAGGACTTAGTTTTCTTTAAGGGGCTGGCCACTGGGAGTTTGAGAAACACAAATTGGACCTTTTTCTCCTCCTTTTTTGGGGGAAGGCACAAGGATGTGGGTGGACTTGGGAGAACTGGAAGTGAGTGTGATCAGGGTTCATGATGTGAAACTACCAGATAATCAATAAAAATATTATTAAAAAACAAAACAAGAGCCGGGCGGTGGTGGCGCACGCCTTTAATCCCAGCACTCGGGAGGCAGAGGCAGGCGGATCTCTGTGAGTTCGAGGCCGGGCTGGACCGACAGCCTCCGAAACAATACAGAGAAACCCTGTCTTGTAAAACCAAAAAAACAAACAAACAAACAAACAAAAAAAAAAACACACAAGCTGGAGAGATGGCTCAGAGGTTACAAACACTGGATGCTCTTCCAGAGATCCTGAGTTCAATTCCCAGCAACTACATGGTGGCTCACAATCATCTGCAATAAATCTGGTGCCCTCTTCTGTCCTGCAGGCATACACACAGGCAGATCTCTGTGAGTTTGAGGCCAGCCTGGTCTACAGAGCGAGTTCCAGGACAACCTCCAAAGCAATTCAGAGAAACCCTGTCTCAACCTCCGGCCCCTCAAAAAAGAACTTGGTAATATATAAGATTTTTTTCCAGGTGGTACTGGTTTTTTTTTTCTTTGGGGGGGGGTTTAGTGCATTTGGATATTTTGCCTGCAGGTGGTGTGTATGTCTGTGCACCGCATGAGTGCAATGTCCACAGAGACCAGACAAGGGTGTCAGACAACTGCAGTCACAGGTGGTTGTGGGCCTCCAAGTAAGTGCTAGGAATCAAACCCAGGTCCTCTGGAAGAGCAGTCAGTGCTCATAACTTCTGAGCCATCTCTCTAGCCTCTGGTACTGTTTTTAAAGGCATGAAGAAGTCACAGAGAGATATCAAGGCTTAGCAACATGTGACAGGGTCACAATCCCCGAAGAGAGCCCAAAGGAGGCTCCTGATGAAGGTGTAGTCAGTTGCAGTAGAGATCCCAACATTTTGAAGATGCCAGTACCATAAGACGGCCACCAAGGACAGCAACAGGTGTGGAGCCAGCCTGAGGCTGTGAATGGTATTACATGTACCGTGGCAAGTCCTTTGGAGCCCAGAAGATCTGACACTGAACTTCACACTTTGGTTGGTGGACTCTGGTTTGATCTGACTGTAACTGCTCTGGCTCTTCCTTTTTGAAATGGGAAAAGATGTAACCTTTTTATTTATAGAAGCCCAGAGTTAAGAGACTTTGAAATTATAGTGGCTTTGAGTATTTTAAAGAGGCTTTGAACTTTGAAAGAAACTTCAGATGCTTTAAAGAGACTAAATCTTAAAGTGTTTGACTTTTTAAAGACTGGGACTTCTAAAAGTTGGAATGTTATAGCCAGGCATGGTGGTGCCCACCTTTAATCCCAGCACTCAGGAGGCAGAGGCAAGCAGATCTCTTGTGAGTTTGAGGTCAGCCTGATCTACAAAATGAGTTCCAAGATAGCCAGGGCTGTTACACAGAGGAAACCCTGTCTCAAAAAGCAAACAAAAAAGTTGGAATGTTTTTGTTTGTTTGTTTGTTTGTTTTGCTTTTTCAAGACAGGGTTTCTCTGTAACTTTGGAGGCTGTCCTGGAACTCACTTTGTAGACCAGGCTGGCCTCGAACTCACAGAGATCCGCCTGCCTCTGCCTCCCGAGTGCTGGGATTAAAGGTGTGCGCCACCAACGCCCGGCAAGTTGGAATGTTTTATGTTGTAGTATTAATATTAATATGAAATCTTGGGGATGAACAAGAAAGAAAAGGTTAAAGTTTGATAGTAATGTGTTTACGCGTCAGGTTGACAAAGGGTCAATTGTGCTGGTTAGTTTTTTTTCAACTCGACACAAGCTAGAGTCAACGGAGAGGTGAGAACCTCAACTGAGAAAATGCCTCCATAAGGTCAGCCTATAGACAAACCTACAGGGCATTTTCTTATTTGATGAATCAAGGCCCAGTGCACTGTGGGTAGTGCCACCTCTGGGCAGGTGGTCCTCAGTATATAAGGAAACAAACTGAGCAAGCCAGGAGGGAGCAAACTAGCAAGCAGTGTTCTTCCATGGCTCCTGCTACAAGGATTGTGCCTTGAGTTCCTACCCTGACTTCATTTGATGATAAGCTGTGATGAGAAACTTTAAAGTAAAACAAATCCATCCTCCCAGTTGCTTTTGGTCATGGTGTTTGTCCCAGCACTAGATAACTGAACTCACCTGAATTGAGAAACACATCATTTTGAGATATCAAAGGCAACCTGTACACTGCAAGAACATTTAATAATATTAAGGCATTATTGTTCATGTTTTATGTATGATAATGGTATTGTGGTTATAACTATAAAATACATCTCATCTTTTATCTGTTTATCTGTATATCTCATCTCATATCTATAATTTTCTTCAAAATAATCTGATGAGGTTAAAAATAAGGAGGTTCAAGCCAGGTGTTGGTGATGCACGCCTTTAATCCCAGTTAGTTTGAGGCCAGTCTGGTGCACATAACGAGTTCCAGGACAGTTAGGGCAACACACAGAAACCCTATCTCAAAAAAAGGAAAGGAAGGGAGGAAGGAAGGAAGGGAGGGAGGGAAGAAGGAAGGGAGGGAGGGAGAGAGGGAGGAAGAGAGGAAGAGAGGAAGGGAGGGAGGAAGGAGAAAAAAGAAGCTTCAGACAAAATATTGGTTGTAACAGATAATGTGGAAGCCCAACTATGGAGACACTAGGGCTTAAAAACTAGTTTATATAATTTACAGAGATTTGAAAGAATTGACAGTCCTTTCCCTAACAGTCCTGTTTCTGGTCATTCTACACTTTCAGGAAAGCTCACCCTGCCTGCCATAGCCAACCCTAGGAACAGGCCAACTCCTAGGTAATTGACGACAAATTTTGGTAGAGCAATACAAGGAACTGTCAAAATGAAACAGGTATTTCTATAGGAAAAAAAAAACACATGATTTATGTATAAGTGAAAAAAGCAATTTGTAGTTATCCAGTATGACACTATTATGTAAAAATTAACAACCATATGTTAACTACTGAAAAAGTAGCTATTGCAAGGGTACAGAACCTACATATTTCCGTCTTTACTTGAATTCCACATAAACATGTTAGATTTGTCAGCACAATACAAAATTTTAACAAATTCATTTCATATTACTCTAATGCAGTAGGCACGAGATAAAGGGAGAAAAGGGAAATATATGAGGAGTAAAATTGTAAAGAAAGCCTGAAAGTGGCAAAAGAATATGATTAGGCTACAGTAATTATGGGGTTCACAAATCTAGTCATTGGGCTGCAAGTCTAGACACAAGACTCTCTGAAACTCACAGTGGACACCCCACACAGCACCATTCTTCTCCTAGGATATCTGCTTACATTCCTTCCCTACAGTACTGCCACCCCACTGCACACACACGTGGGAAGGGGATATGAAGGCACACACACATACAAATACATACACATATGATATTGCCACTCTTCATTTCTGCTCTTTAAAACAAATATGAGATAAGACTGTCCTCTCGCCGGGCGTTGGTGGCGCACGCCTTTAATCCCAGCACTCGGGAGGCAGAGGCAGGCGGATCTTTGTGAGTTCTGAGACCAGCTTGGTCTATAAGAGCTAGTTCCAGGACAGCCTCCAAAGCCACAGAGAAACCCTGTCTCGAAAAACCAAAAAAAAAGACTGTCCTCTGGAGTCCCAGGGCTAAAGACACAGACAAAATGTGCATTTGTCTGCTAAGTGGATATTTGATGGAATTAAACTATTACAGCTAATATTTTAGGAGTATAATAATACTTAGCAATATTAAAAAGAAAGAAGTCTTTATAATTTACACATACTGGACTATTTACAAAAGACACTGACATCTGAGATGTGTGTTTAAATTATCCATGAGAATGGGTAGATGAGATAGATGCTGAACAAACTCAGCAGGAGTTGATGAGATAGATGCTGAACACAGCAGGAGTTGATGAGATAGATACTGAACACAGCAGGAGGCACAGCTGCCATTACACTTCCCCTATTCACATCCCCACTTCATTTAATTAATTATTTTGGTTTTTTGGAGACAGGGTTTCTCTGTGTAGCCCCACCTGTCCTGGAACTCACTCTGTAGACCAGGCTGGCCTCAAACTCAGAAATCTGCCTGCCTTGGCCCCTGAGTGCTGGGATTAAAGGCCAGCACCACCACTGCTCAGCTTCACATCCACATTTTCCCACAAAAGCGTTATCTTTTTTTTTTTTTTGCTTTAAAGCAATCACCATTCTGGCCACACAGACATGCCACTCACAAAGACCCCAAAATGTAGATGTTCCTGGTTCCTCCAGAGTGAGGGCATGTTATAGAACCCCATGTTTATGCCTGATCAGGGACTTGCAAAGCACCCATAGAGGACAAGAAGTACTTATTCCAGAGCTGGCTCAGAGAACATCTTTGGAAAGCCACTTTACTTAAACTACAGTTCCCATATCAGCACCCACACTGTTCGTTTATGTTCTGTTAAGCAAACAAAATGCTGTCCCAAGAGCCTGGTGACAGTTTCACAGTGTCATCAGTGACTGTCCAATACATTTGGCGTCATGTATCATTACCTGTTCAGTTTTCCTTGCAATAAGATTGCCAATGGTCTTGCTGAAAAAACTGGCAAGCAGAGGGTTGAGTGGTGGCTCCTGGTCCAGGAAGTCATACAGAAGGTTCAGCAGACTCTCATCCTCGCCTAATCTGTCGCTGATCTGTGGCACATCACAAGTCAGAAGCTCACAGGCTGTGTTTGGGTATCTAAAAGGGCACACAGTCCAAGCACTGGAGGTGAAATTAAACTTCTCTAACTCTTAGGAAGCAGACACATGTCAGGACTGGAGAGAGAGCCCAGTGGTTAAGAGTATGTATTGCTCCTCCAGAGGACC